AAGTCGGCGTCTAATTTCGTCAGCATGCTATCTGCCTTTTCTTGATTGAATTCTAATCTCGCCAGGAAATCTTCTCTGTCTTTTTTTCTATTGGCCTCCATTCTGTCTTCCATCCGCAATCGGTCGGCATCTGTTTTTACTTGATTTGCCCTCATCTGTTCTTGATGGGTTTTCATATCAGTGTCTAATTTGGCCAGGAAATCTCTGTCTTCCCTCCTATTGGCCTCCACCTTTGCTAGCATTTCAATTATCTGCTGCATCTCCATTTTGTAGCAGTGAAATATTCGATGCACAAAAATTCAATTTGTGGCGTGTTTAAGTTCGTAACACTTCTGACACCAATGCAACGTGTCTTGAGTTCGAAGCTCGTTGGTCACGTGAGTAAGTTCAAATCCAACTTCTGACACCAGTTGTCACGTATCGGGCGTATATCGCGACAAATAACTCCACGCCGTATTTGATGTAGCGAATTTTATTTCACATTCGCACTTACAATCACCCAAATTACAGATTTACGATTACTGCTATCTGCAGTATCACAAATAGTACACTCCAAATGCCACAATACAACTGACTGGTTGCTGGCTAACTCGGAACTAACTCGGAGGTAGCTCGAGGACTGACTCGGAGGTAGCTCCAGGACTCACTGACTGACTGTGAATAGCCTTCGCTGCTCCTTATGTAGCCTTGATCGGACAATTGTCGTCAGGTGCCGTGTTGCTAGCCACGCTGTCCGGAGTTGTTGACTGCTGCCTAGCAACCGCGATATCCCTCGGTGACGTCACCGCTGTTTACTCGCTTTGCATAGCTTCAAGGTTGCGGGGACTCGGCTAACGTCGGCTCCGCTCGTGACGTCACTGCGCGTTGCATAGCTACCAGGATGTGGGGTGATTACTCGCCTATTACGTGAGCGCTACGTTACCGCTACGTGCAGCAGGGGAGGTAGGGGTCAACATGTCACAATATTCTTTTGTATTTTAAAAATTATTACACTATGTGAAGAGTTCCCCCAAAATATTAATCCATAGTTCATAATAGAATGAAAGTAGGCATGGTAAACCATCTTCAATGTTTCCTGTGACATAAAAGGCTTTGATATTTGATGTAGCGAATTTTATTTCACATTCGCACTTACAATCACCCAAATTACAGATTTACGATTACTGCTATCTGCAGTATCACAAATAGTACACTCCAAATGCCACAATACAACTGACTGGTTGCTGGCTAACTCGGAACTAACTCGGAGGTAGCTCGAGGACTGACTCGGAGGTAGCTCCAGGACTCACTGACTGACTGTGAATAGCCTTCGCTGCTCCTTATGTAGCCTTGATCGGACAATTGTCGTCAGGTGCTGTATTGCTAGCCACGCTGTCCGGAGTTGTTGACTGCTGCCTAGCAACCGCGATATCCCTCGGTGACGTCACCGCTGTTTACTCGCTTTGCATAGCTTCAAGGTTGCAGGGACTCGGCTAACGTCGGCTCCGCTCGTGACGTCACTGTGCGTTACATAGCTACCAGGATGTAGGGTGATTACTCGCCTATTACGTGAGCGCTACGTTACCGCTACGTGCAGCAGGGGAGGTAGGGGTCAACATGTCACAATATTCTTTTGTATTTTAAAAATTATTACACTATGTGAAGAGTTCCCCCAAAATATTAATCCATAGTTCATAATAGAATGAAAGTAGGCATGGTAAACCATCTTCAATGTTTCCTGTGACATAAAAGGCTTAATTGATCTCATCGCATAGCAAGCTGCATTTAATTTAGGTATAATTTGTTCAATATGTATTTTCCAAGACAGTGTACTGTCTACATGTATTCCAAGGAATTTTGTATCAAGTACTTTACAGATTAATTTGTTGGCATAACTGATGTCCAGATCAATTTGGTGGTTGTTTTTAGTTGTGAATGATATGTAATGGGTTTTATCAAAATTTAATGAGAGTAAATTGGCTTCGAACCATCTGTTTAAGGCTTCAAATACAATATTTATGTCATTTTTAAAGTTGTCAAATTTAGAGTTCTTAAATATTATACTAGTGTCATCTGCATATAGAATTGGTTTAGATTTATTGTTGATGGTTTTAGATAGATCATTTATGTAGAGAAGAAAAAGTAAGGGACCTAAAATTGATCCTTGTGGAACACCGTGCTTTATAATTCCCCAGTTTGAAAATGCATTATGACTGGAGTTTTTATTATTTATTTCAACTCTTTGATACCTGTTTTTGAGGTATGATTTGATCCATTCATTAGCTTTGCCAGTTATTCCATAGAAATTTAATTTCGATAGTAAGATATCATGATTAACACAATCGAAAGCTTTTGCTAGATCACAGAAAATCCCTCCCACAATTAATCTGTCATTGAGAGCACTTAAAATATCGTTAGTTAGTTCATAGGTTGCTTTTTCTGTTGTTAGGTCTTTCCTAAATCCAAATTGCTCTTTGACTAATATGTTGTTAGAATTTAAGTGTTCAAGTAGTCTATTATACATAACTTTTTCAAAGACTTTTGAGAATGAAGTCAATATGGATATTGGTCTGTAATTAGAGATGCATTTTCTCTCTCCTTTTTTAAAAAGTGGTTTCATTACAGCGTATTTTAAGCGTTGAGGAAAAGTACCTGATGATAAAGATTTATTACATAGATGATTCAAGGGTGAACTGATGTAAACAGAGCTTGCTTTAAGTAATTTGGTAGAGATTTCATCATATCCATGTGAATTTTTGGGCTTAAGGGATTTAATAATGTTTTCAATTTCCTTCCTTGTTGAGAATTTGAGATTGATATTTGGAAATGAATTGTTAAAGGCACGAGACAGATAGTATATTGGATTATTATTATTATTATTATTATTATTATTATTATTATTATTATTATTAGTATTGTTGTTATTGGAATATGTTTTCTCAGCTAATGAAAGGAAATATTCATTAAATGCACTTGCGATAGCTTGTGGATTGTTAGTGGACTTCCCTTCAATATTCAAACTTTGTACGTCTTCATTAACAGATTTCTTTCCTGATTCAACTTTCACAATATCCCAGGTGGTTTTAATTTTATTGTTTGATTTTAGAATTTGGCTGTTATAGTTATTCTGTTTGGCTTCTTTAATGACTTTTGACAAAATTTTACAGTACATTTTGTAGTGACTTTTTAGTCTTGGATCATTACTGTCCCTACTGGCCAAATATAGTTGTCTTTTGTGTTTACATGAAGTTTTTATTCCAATTGTTATCCAGGTGGATTTGTTTTTATTTTCATTTTTGACTATTTTTAAGGGAAAGCTTGAATAAAAGATCCTCAAGTATGTGTTCAGAAAGCAATTAAATTTAGAATCAATATTATTGCTGTCAAATACATTGTCCCATGATTCATTACTTAATTTTGTGACAAAATCTGCCATCGTATGCTTGTTGATTTTCCTTACTGTTTGATATTGTTGATTACTGGGCTGAAGGTCAATATTATTTATTTCTATGAGTTGAGCATCATGATCGGATAAGCCATTTATAAAGGGTCCTACAGTATAGTCTCTTAATTTTGAGTTATCAATGAATATATTATCTATCGCTGAACTAGAATTATTTTGAACTCTTGTGGGAAAGTTAACAGTACTGGAGAGATTGTAAGATGATAACAAAGAGTCTAAATTTAGTTTCCTATTACTGTCGATGAGATAGTTTATATTTATATCACCACAAATTATAAATTCAACTTTTGAACTATGCAGTACATTTAGGATGGTTTCTAATCTATTTATAAAGTGATCGAAGTTTCCAGATGGGGCTCTATATAAAGTCAGTATACAAATATTAGAAAAAGGAGAGTCTAACTTTAGAGCACATGCTTCCAGATCCTGGTCTTTGCAATAATCTTCTAAATTTATTTTAGTAAATTTTAGGTTTTCATGTACAAAAATACTCACTCCTCCTTTCTCCAGTGTTTTCCTACAGTATCTAGCACCTAAATTATAATTTTCTAAGTGAAGATGTTCTAATTCCAGCTGTTTCATGTGATGTTCAGTAAGGCACAGTATGTGTGGAAGATTTGAATTCATGGAGCTTATTAGTTCATTTGTTTTGTTTCTCAATCCTCTTATATTCTGATGGAATATTCTTAGTACTTTATTATTCACTGAATTTAGTAGACTGCAATTACCTTTTCCGATTTCTATTGGTTCACTAACATTATTGTCTGAAAGATTAGTTTCTTTTGCAATTTCTTTTACTTGATAAACTTTACTTGCACTCTTTATCCTAAAAAATGATTCTGAACACCCATGACAACTGGAATGTGTCTGCCCTTAATGCTCTCTGCAATGAGTCGCGTCAGCTTGTCCTTGCCTCGAGGATTAAGATGCAAACCATGGACAGTATGTTCGCTCCTCAATATTGAAGAGACATCAATCGCATCAATGTGGGCCGCGCCGACCTCCACAAGCGAACGCTCAAGCCGAAGATTAATCTCCCTTACACACCTGTTAATCCATGGCTTGTCATGTCGCCAGAAAAGACCAACAAACCTCACATTGGTGTGACTAGTTTTCTGGGCAATGTCACTTAAATCTTTCTCAATTTGATAATTGAGGTTTCTCTCCAAACTGTTACCTGGCCCCCCAACTATAACTACCTGATCTTCCTTACTAAAACCTTTGCACAATTTTCCAATGTCCCCAGTGACATTGCTCAGATCAGCATTGGGCTTGAATATGCTGGTCACAGCATATGCATCTCCCATTGCTTTCTGTAGCCTCTGCCCGATACCCCTACCATGACTGCTACCCAGCACTAGAATCTTACGCTTAGGCTTAGCCTCTAACACAGGCTGATCTATAGCGTCACCATCAGTCTGAGGCTCTAGCATAGCTAGAGGTTCAAATCGATTGGTTAAAGCAAACTTAAAATCTAGTGAAGAAGGAACTTTTTTAAGTTTTCTTCGGGAGTTGGACACAGTCCTAAATTCTTCAGGACAATTATCTACTAAATTTAATTCCCCTTTTAAGAGGTCAATCTCAGTTCTTGCAAGTTCCAGCTCCCTTTTCAAACTCAAGATAGTCTCCTCTTGTTTCTTTATTACCTTGGCTTGCACACAGGAGTTGCAGTACCAAGGTAATATGGCCAAATCACTATTGGTGCCAGAACACTCCCAATGAAACCACAGGCCACAGTCCTCACAACCTGTCCCCTGGCTAACCTTCCTTCTGCAGGCCCCACATTTACCTGATAAGTCGTTACCCCTTGTGGCCATTATTACCACTTATGTTAACTTATAATTCAGTACTAACTAACAGATATATTTAGAGAGTCTAATTTGTGATTAGGACTTACAAGAGTATATGCTGGCACAAATCTTTTAAAGCCCACTATATACAATGATACACTTATTTTAGGTTAGGCCCACTGGTACACTTGCAGTAGTACAAATCAACTTACTAAAGATATAAAATAACACACTTCTTGTAGGTTAGGCCTACTGTACACTTACAAAAATACAAACAACTTATGTAAGATATAAATAACACTTGTGAAAATACAAATCGACTTCCTTAAGATATAAAATAACACACTCCTTGTAGGTTAGGCCTACTGTATACTTACGAAAATACAAATAAGATAGTCATGAAGAAAATTACATAGTGAGGAGCTTCATAGCCTGTTCTTCAGCTAATGTTATTACTGATGTAATTTTTGGCTCTGTGATCCTCAGAGGGCCTTGGCCTCCTCCACTGTGGTGGCCCATTCCCTCTATTATATGCCTTTTACCCCCATCTGTTCTGTGACAGTTGTAAATAATTTTGTTCTTCTTCTACCCATGTCACCTGAGCCTTTCCATTTTTCCCCTATCTCCTAGTAGCTAATATTGCTCAGACAGGGAAATCAAGGATGAACTATGCAGGGCATGTAATACAAGTTGTACAAATGACAAGTCCATATAGGATTTTGGTTGTAAAATTTTTAGGGAAGAAACTACTTTGGGTACTATGAGTAGATATAGATGGGAGGATAATATTGTCACGTGTCTTGAGTTCGATTCTTGTTGATCACGTGTGTAAGTCCAAATCCCACTTCTGACACCAAATGTAGTTTTGTTACTGAATATGCCATAGGGATTGTTAATTTGTTTATTAAACAACCTACAAGTAATGGCTACAATTAATTATCACACAGTTGCGGGGTTTCACACTTTATAACCCTAATCGCAATAATCTGTTTACACTCTTTGCGGGGTTTCACGATTTATAACCCTATTCGCAAATCAGTTCACTCTGTCTTCAGTAGTCTACACGTTTACAGTACGCGGGAGGTATGCAAGTGCAACTGTATCACACACTCCCGATTATTACTCGGTTATCACGAACTGTCACTGATTATCACACTTTTACTTCTTCACTGCTGACTGGAGAACCGTCTTCGGCCGCTGATACACTTTAACTCACTCGTAGGCTTGCTCGGAACTAACTCGGAACTGATAACTGTTGATCACACACTAACTGTCTCTGGGGACGGCTACACTTTAACCCAACTACAACTGAACTCAGCGACTGCCACATTACAACTAACTCACGCTTACTGCTCAGCTGACTTGTATTTCGTTCGCTGTTGCCTGTTGCCTGTGTCAACAGCGTTGTTGCATGCCACGTAACAGTGTCTGCGTATAGCCTAGCAACGCTGTTACCTCACACCGAATTACATCACCGCGCGTTGCGCGTTACGTCACCATGCGGAGGGGGGTGACGGAGCGCTGACTCACCCGCCGCGTCACTGCTGGAGGGGGGGGGCTTCTCCGTTGCGCAACATGTCACAATATTAACATGAACTTTACAGTAATGCAGAGTGGAGATAAGTAGGTTCAAATGGTTCGGGATATAATAGAGTGGAGTGCTTTTGTGACATGGTGATGAACTTCATGGTTCCATAAAAGGGTATTTCTTGATTAGCTGAATAACTGTTTAGTACTCAGGGAAGAATTATTTTAGATGCAGGGGACCAAGTAGGTTTTACTCTATGTTTAGATCACTTACTCTGTGTTCAAGAATTTATTCTTGTCATTCTCAGTGTTTGACCCCTTGTGGATGTGGGTTAAGAATACCTATGCTGTACCCGTATAAGTTATAGAAGGCAACCAAAAAGGAACCCACTGCCTGGGGGTATAACTGGGCCACCCTGTCACTGGGGAATTTTAAGGCAGAGACCTGGTCCTATAGGTTGGGGATTAGATGCAAGGCTGATGACCTTGCTCTGTAAAAAAAAATTATTATTATTATTATTATGAAATCAAAAGAAGTGAAAACCAGATGGTTTAATTTAGTAGAAAAGTCTGGCAGAATCTTCTAAGGAAGACTGTCGCTCAAAATGGGCTGTTTTGCTGCTGCTGCTGATGATGATTCTCAGTGTTTGATGCCAATTCCTGAAAGTAGGTTCATCAGAAAGTGCTGCTGTCTCACTACTGTTCCCCTTCTTTCCATTCAGACACTGTTGTGGTAATACTCTGCAGTAATGGACACTGAAACTACCTACCTGTAGTTCCTTTCACAGATTGAAGGATATTTCGCAGGCTGTGAAGCAGCATTACTTACCAAGACAATATCCTGTATTTATGTTATTGCATATTTCTTATAACATACGTAATATTTACATCCAGGATTCTCAGAACACTGGCTTAATGAATGGAAGTGCAGAAATGGGACACACTCCTCAAGACAACCATGTTGAGGAAGAAGGGGAGGATGAGGGAGTAGAAAGAAGTAGAGGGCGTGCCTGGGAGAGAGGGAAGGCTCCATGGGTAGAAGAACTGAAATTAAACCAGGCCAAGAAGACATCAGGATTTAATTCTGCAGCCTCAGTGCTCGGACAGAGCCCTTCAGAGCAGTCTGAAAAGAAAGTGCCTAAAATGAAACCGGACCCAAGTAAGTTGCATTTAAGAAGGGTAAGTTTGATGTATGAATACTACTAATATTATGGTGTAGTTCCCAGTGGGTTATGATACTCCACGATCATCGTCATCATCTTCACCACCATTGCCATTATTGGTATTATCAGTTGTCTTCTCCAGGGTGAGTTGTGTTGTTGTGATGAAATCTATGTTTTTCTCTACCCTTGCATAATGATTGCTCTTGCATCTCTGTTCAGTCTTTCCATGCTATCTCTTTTCTTCACTTTTTTGGTCTCTTCTTTGTATAGGGTCTTTTTCATTTTACATCTTTATGCTCTGAAATGAATCTTGTAGTTGTCTATGTGTGACAAATGTCTATGCAAGTTTATCCTTAATTTCACAAATTTTGCTTGTAGTGTTGTATTTCTGGCCTCTTCTTTTGGGTTATGACACCATGTAGGTTGGTACCAGTGTTTTGTAACATACTGACTCCATTCCTTGAGAAGAATTCAGTATGTTTTTCAAAAAATGCTTGTACCTTCCTACCATACTACATTGTGTCATAACCCAGAAGACCACAGTATGAATCTTTTCTCCCATGAAAACCTCAAATTGTTTCTTATAGCATGTGCATATTTAGATTTTACTTGATGCCCTGGTTTCCAGTTACGCCTTGCCTTGGTTGTTTATTAATTACGCATAGAAACTTCATCTCAGTTGCTTGCTTACATCTTTCCTAGTTCTTATCCAAGTTTCTGTTCCATAGGACATAATAGGCTATTTGTCATATGTTATATACAGTATGCGCCAAAATATTCAGTACTGAAATGAAAAGACGAACAGTGTTTCCTTGTTGTCATCTGTGAGTTTATACATACACACTATTAGCGTGTTCATTTACCACGGTATGCATAATGTAAGTTTTCAAAGTGTGCACTGCCTCGCTGTAGACAGTGTTCACATTGTTCATGCAGATTCTCAATCATATCCTGGAACAAAGATTGCTGCAGACTCCTGCAAAAGGAGACGATTTGCTCATGTAATGCAGGCACAGTTCTTGGCAGATCTTCGCAGTTGAACACACTTTCCTTTAACATTCCCCACAAGTAGGCATCAGGTGGTGTAAGATTCCTCAAGAAATCTGGATCCTTGTACACCTTGGCCAAAATGTTCCACAATACACCATCCTGGCTCGCATATCTGACTGTCAAGCATTGTCCAATCCGGTACGGAAATCCACCTATGTCCTTAAACAATCGGCGAACGGATGTATCGCTAACATTCAGTTTCAAGGCCGTTCATCATAGACTTCGTCGGGGTGAATGCAGAACCTGCTGAAGAACACATGCGTGATTCTCTTTTGTCGAAAGAGTTACTGGTCGACCAGACTTCCCCTTCCGTTGACACAGTATACTACCAGAACGGCGAAATTTCATAACAATAGACAGCAAAACTGTTACTTGGTGCTGTCTTATTAAATCTCTCTTGGAATTGTTCATTCACCTCTTTCAAACTTGGTCCCCCTTCACGACTACTTCCATATAAGCAGAAATAATACTCAAGTGTGAATACTTCTTCCTCCATCCTGAGTCCCATTTCCAACAACTGCACAACACAACTTCCTTTTCACTACTGGGAACACATGCGGCTGGAACTATGCCCCATCGACAAACACACATGCCCATTCAAGATGCGCGAGTTTCAGTACTGCATGTTCTGGTGCATGCTGTAATAGGCCCTTATCATGTTCTTAAATTTCACAGTTCTAAATGATATGTGATAAAATATCCCTGTTCAGTGGAAACCTATCTTCAAATTGTTCCTGAATTTTCATAATATCTATCCCCACAACCTTATTATAGGAGGCAGGGAAGGTCTGAAACAGTGGATTGCCTGATAGGGTAAAGTAAAGTGGGAACTTGTTTTTTTTTATATATACTGCCATGGTAACTTTGAAAGGCCCATCAAGAAGTACTGAAAGCAAGTTGGGAGATGTACACATAGTGTAACAGTTCTGGTATGTGCCAGATCATTTTTGTTGATCTCAAAAACATAAGCAGTACAGAAAAGTGTACGATATGTATAAATTTTTTATTTTTCTATGCAATTTTTGTTTGAAACATTTTGTGCTCTGATAAATTTGTAGTTATGACCAAGATGCACATGGAAACACATATAGATCTTCATATAAAATGTCCACTATTTCTCTGCAGTTTTAACCAAATTTGAAATGTATTGTCAGATTTAAGTAAAAGTACACAGTGTCTGATTTCATGAAGTCTTATTCTGGGGTTCTATAGTTGTTACGTGTGGACAGTCAGCTGAACAGACTTGGCAGAACTAAGAAGTGCATTTTTTTATTCTTGAAGTGCCAAAAATGGTGCATGAAAACCACCTCCATTTGGTGACAAGTCTGGAGTCTTAATTTTATTACATACAATCCTTGTTTAATGTTTTATATTAATTTCTTTATACAAATCAGTATTTTAATACATGTTTTGTTTGTTGTATTTTGAATACCCTTGCTATAACCAACAAAAAAATTTATATTTCTTTCCATCATTAATTTTTCATGAGGAATTATTTAAAAGCTTAATCCAAACCACACCACAGTATATCTGTAATTATACAAACATATATGGTAAAGAACTTTTTATTTTTATGACTCACCATGTGTTGTATTGATTTTATGTTAGCTTGTATGACTAAAATATAGCAGGCTTTGACCTGGTTTGAAGTCCTAGTTCAACAGTGCCTCTGTTTCTCTTGTGGCAAGTACCTTCCATGCCTTCCTTTGTGGTTATTGTAATGTGGGATTCAGCTCCATTTCTTTATATGGAAGACAAAAATATGGTAGTGTTATATTAGTGTTTAATTTCTGTGCTGGTGTTCAAAGAGATGCAGTGATATAGAATTATGCATGCTGTCTATGTGTATTTTATTTGTATCCCACATTAAATTCTGTAATAATGGGTGATTTTATGAACCCTATCTGACCAATCTGTAGCTTCTAACTTAGTTCATTAACTGTGTATCATGGGTCCCTTTTGACCCCAAATCAGTATATGATATTCTGCTGATCAACATCACACTACACATTTGCCATTATCATAATTGCAATTTCTCATATGTTCAGTTGTTTTTTGGTTAAAATTTGTGGGTCACACATTGAGTACATACGATGATAACTTGTTAAGTTTTTCATTTCATTAAATGGTTACTGATGAAAATACCCATTATTGGAGATCACATTTCTCAAATTTACCACATAAATTCATTCAGTTTTTATTTTATTTATATCTTATAATAGAAAATCAGTTTTAGAGATATTTTGTGGTACTTTTTCATTAATCTTTTTTTTATAAGAATAATAATAATCCACATTTAATTACTTAAAATTTGGTCACAATTATTTCATTTCTAATTGTAATCATCATATAATTCACGCTGATTCTAACTTGATTGATAAGTGTCCATAGCTGGGTAAAGCACAGGGTAATGATAGATGGTCAGAATTCAGCAAGGATATTGGCAGTTGTCGTCTGTTTACCACAACACCCAGAAAACTGTGGGGCCAGCATTGCCTCTATACAGAAGCTGCCTGAGGTATAGGAGGGGACTAAAATAGTCGAAGTTTCAAACTGACTGCTGTCTTCTTTGTGCTTCTGAAGTTGAGGAAATGGGTCTTTATCTTCATTCTCACTGTGTTCCTACATAATGCAGTACTTAAACATTTTCTGTATTTAAATTCTGTATTTTGGCAAATGTGTGAAATTATGAATTGTTCAGCTCATCTGGTTTGCTGAATCAGACTGTACTTTGATGGTAAAATATATTTCTTAACTGATATATCAATCCCATTATCACTTTTTTGTTTCTTATTTAGTTATGAATGTAAACATTTGTTTCCTGGTATTACATTCTGTTTCCCAAGGTAGTTGATACAGAGATCTGGTGGATTGTTTATTCAAGATAAGCTCCAAATAGATAACTTGTACAGCTCATGAATTGGTTTGCTGTGTTGTGCCTGGGAAAGCAAGTGGATGTGTTACAACTACTTAAGGATTGCAATGTTCGTTGGTTGAAGTGCTGTTATCTTTCTATAAATGCATGATGCCATTGTATTTCTCATGGATGACACTATTGTGTTTGGTCATGTTGTAATAGCACAGTTTTACCCTATGTGATAGTGTGTTTATATTTACCAACCAGAATAAATTTGGTTTAATTTTTCTGTAAAGATCTGTGGCAGTGGTTACTTCATTACAACGTAATTGTAATTGATGGTAACCATGTTTTCATGAAGTAACAGACTGGAAACCTACTATGACGTGACACCTCAAAGCGTGACTGGTGGAATTAGTAAAGACAGACATTACCAGGCAGTGGCTTGTTGAAACATATTTCTGCAGCAGATTTGGGACAAAGGCATATCCATTGTAACAACTTCTTAAAAGACAAACACACAACTGGAACCCTTAGAGGCAATGTTCTCTATTCAGTTCTCCTGAAGCTATGGAGAGAGGTCAGACCAGACCAGAACAAGTAATCCCATGAGGAGGTGGGGTTGAACACCTCCTCTGTAGCCCTGCGAATCATAGGGGGTGACTAAAAGAGAAGTCCTGAATCTGAGACAGTAAAATATGGTTGTGAATCCCGTGGGACTCAGACCCAAGAATGACTGTGCTGGCAAGAGCCAACAGCAATTGTAAATGACAGACATGTCCTCTCATCAGAGAGAGCACCCGAAATCAACAAAGCCGCAACTGTGTGATAGTAATAAAATCTGATCGTAAGCCCCAAATGGACAGACTGGCTGACTTACCGTTGGTTGTAACATAAGACTTATAGCAAGTAGACCAAGTAGAGCAGTTGACAGATGAGTAGAGTTATGCATTCACAGCTGAGAAGCCGTCGATTGAAGAGGATTCAGAAGGCGGCTGAATAGTTGAAGTGTTGAAGACGTTATTTAATGTGTTATAGTTACAGTATTCTTGAAAGTGTTATAATTAATTGTAATTATGACTCGGAATATCCAGTAAATCTAAATCGATACACCAATCCAAACCCCACCTCCAAGTCGCTAATACACGTGACAATACCGTCCGTACCTGAGTACACTGAGTTTTCATGCACATTTGTTGCACTTTGGCACTTTGAATTCATCCAGCTGTTCTGAGCAGCTTTGAAGAAGCCATTAACAACAAGTCTGATTGCTCTGGTTTCTGTCATTGCTGAATGGTTACTGGATTTTGGGAGTAGTACTAGTGTCACTCACATGTGACAGATTTGTGCCATGTTGTTATTACTAACTGTTGAAAATAAAGAAGTTTAAATCTGTCCAGCAGTTCTTTAGTTGAAACGAGTAGACAGACAGACACATGGTATTAGTTTTGTGTACATCTTGCAAGGAATGTGTAATAACTGTAAAAATGAAAGAGAGCAGTATATGGCATTTATTTTTATCATTGTAAAACATAATATATTTATTTTGAGTATTTTGAACAATTATGTCATAGAAAGTGTTATCATGTTACCTTTGCTGCATTACTTAAAAATATGGAATAAAATATGTCTGTTAAGATCAATGATGTATGTATGAAAGAAATATTTTGAGAGGCTTATGTACACGGTAGCGTAGTTGGTTCAAGGGCTATGCTACAAGGTGGGAAGGTCGTGGGTTCAAATCCTGATGAGGTCATTGGATTTTTTTCAATTGGCCTAATCCTTCCAGCCGCACTATGGCCCTGGGGTCGACTCAGCCTCTAACAGTAATTAGTACCAGGAATTAATTAAATAATTTTCCTGGGGAGTAAAGCGCGGCTGGCGCGTAAGGTCTGACAACCCTATGGGCCTTCACGGCCTGTTACAGGGATGGCTTTACCTTTTTTACTTTTTATCTATTTTTTTAAATAATTGCAAAATAGTGTAAGTGTAGCTGTTTGTCTAAAGACTTTTCACGTTCATAGGGACACTTAAGCAAGGATGCTTACGTTTAGTTTAACTCTTGTTGCTTTGAAAGTTCTCTGTGAAACAGTTGCAGTAGAATGAATTGTACACATTACTCATAGTTTGATGTATCTCAAATGATGGTTTCCCAAACACTGGCATCTTCATTATAGGGTAGCGATTTCTTAAATTTAAAATGAGCTCACTAACCAATGGTTCTGTTAACAGCTTAAAATAATCTATTTGTTATGTCAATTTCTCTGCACTAAAAAATTATGTATGACCTAATGCTTATAATTTTAATTGTTCCCAGGTCCTGAATCTAAACAAACACCAGCAAGTGTAACCATGAGAATGCATCCCTCCAGACCCCAGTCAATGTTCCACAACCCTTCATCTAGAGTTAATGTGCAAACAAGGCCATTGTCTTCAGCAAGTCCACCTGATCCTGCTCATCTTTTGGCTGAAGTGAGCCAGGCTCGTTCCAGACCACTCTCAGGTTCATCAACTAACTCCTTGGTGCTTACACAGCAGCAGAAGCAAGAAGCTGTCAGTCCATCAGTAAGGACAGCAAACAGCACAAGTTCATCTACTAGCCCAGTACTAGCCACTTTATTATCTAAACAAACAGCAGATTCTACAAGTCCGTCTTCACTCTCAGATCCAGACCTCCTTGCAAGTCCATCAGCTCGTAGTCCAGGGCTTGCAGGTGGATCTTCTGTTACATACAGACAGTTCTCAGAGCTCAAAGACAAGGTAACAATAGTATGATTATAGGAAAGATGTATTAACTAACCCTTTGATATCATAATTTCACTTAAACCCGGTTACTTCTCATGCAGCCAGCAGCTGGATTCATGACAAATAAGGAAGTTTGCTGAAAACCTTTTCAAGTCTTTAAATAAATTTTGGTTGTATATTCTGTAAATTTGTTGATTGTTTTTGCATGGGTGTTGTTAGCCTATTTTGTATGGATGCAACCCTTTGGGTACATATTGCAAAAGTAGAGTGTGAAATATGAGTGGGAGAAAGTGTAGTGTATGGTGGTAATGTTGAAATAATAGCTATGAGTGAAATGTATTAAGTGTCTTGTCAGTGTTTATTTTGGCTGAGAGGGTCATATCACTCTACCATCAGTTGCAACATTTGGTCAGTTTGTCACTGAAAGAACGGTCAAGAAAACTCCAATTAACGGCCGTGGGGATCTGTTGCGCTGACCATGTGACACCCTCTATCCGCTGAAGATGGCACTAACTTTGCCGACAAGCGGCGGTCGCTCGGTTGGTATAGTTAACTTGCAGACTATAGGCCACGGATTTTGTTAGTTTGTTGTTTGTCACAGGAAGAAATGTACCTTTATAGTTTAGTGGTGAATTAATGGCCATCATGATGGGCTGTTGCCAATTTAAGAAAGTGAGAGGTTGGGTGTTTTAGGCAGAGTTTGTATTTATAGGTGTTCTTTGCCAAAACGTTTCCTCTTGTTACTAGTTCTTTTTTTTACTACATTTAATTTACTATCATTGGATCCTTTAGATATTTCCTCTAGATAGCATCACCACTAAGTGTATATTCTTACTCTCTTAAATTTAGTATCGTAATGTAAGTGTAGCTAGCTGTCTTTTCTAAAACATTTGATATAATTGAGGTTAGATATTTTTGCCACTGTTTTTGACAGTTACCTGTTGAAATTTCAGTGGACATCATGCCTTTGAATTAATATTGATGGTTATGATTTTTTAATGTAGAATGTATATATTTATAGGTATCAAAACTTGAACAGATGTTGGAAGCTCAAGAGGAAAAATTTATGAAGATGGTTACAGATTTGACTGCTAAACTAAATGAAGAGGCAGAGAGAAGAGTTCAGTTGCAGCAAGCAATGGACAAACTTACCAACCTGGTGACGCAGGTGTGACTGTTTCTAATTTCATCTGTCACTATTCACCTGAGGTCATTGAAACCAATGTGTCTGGTGAGTGAATCTGTGAGCCAGTTGTCTAGAAAATACGGGAGCCTCAATGTCTCACAACTCTATGGGCCTCCATGGCCTGTTACAGAGATAGCTTTACCTTCTACCTGTTTTACACACTTAAGCTACTTCTCAACATAGTCACCACTGGAACTGAGGCACTTGTGATATCAAGGAATAAGTTTTGTATATGCCTGTTTCAAATAAGTCTGCCACCTGTGACCTTAGCCACGTTTTGTATTGTGAAACGCTTAGAAAAAAAGATATGTAGGGCCATTCAGTACAAAAGGTGTGGAATGCTGACATACAGTGTAGTGCTATACAGCTGCTTGCACTCAAGCACTTCTGGAGCATTTCAGCTGGGAGTTGTTTGACCACCCTTCTTACAGCCCTGATTTCACTCTGAGTGACCATCACCTGTTTACCTATCTGAATAACTCGTTGGGACCACAGTGCTTCAAGAATAATGAGGAGTTGATTGGAGGTGTCAAAACGTGGCTTTACTCACAGGTAGACTTTTTTGACACAGGCATAGAAACCTTATTCTCTGATAAAACAAGTGCCTCAATTCCAGCGGTGACTACGTTGAGCAGTAGCTTAAGTATGTACATACTGCTGTATATAATCTTTTTATTTCTTATTGCTTGTTTTGTAAACAGCTCACTGGAGGTTACTTTCCAAATAGCCCTCATAGGATCTGTATTCTTGCAAATACATAATGTTACATAACATTATTTCCTCAGCTGTTCTATGTTTGGAACAACTTTGAGGGTACATCAGAAGTCAGCAGCCTTACAGAAGAGAAGTCCTGTGTGTTCAATGAGATATCCATTAATCAAGTTTTGGGAATGGAGTCTAGTAACTTCCAAGTGATGACATAATGATCTAAATCACTATCTAATGTTGATGACCCCCTGGAGATATTGTAAACACAGTATATGGGGATTGAAGGCAGAGTTCAACTTTTATGAAAGAAACATGTTGCTATTTGTGGGCACAGTAATTGTGCAAGGAGAACTGTGATGTGTGATTATAACATTGGGAATGTAATGAAAAATAATATAAATAATATCTCTCATTCAGGAAACAGGAATGTACAGTTGAGTTGCAGTTTCCAGCGCAGCGGTTGTAAAGGTGGTTTGAGTATAGACTTCGCTGCCACAACATATGTTCTCGACTGTGCCATTAAAAGAAGTGAATGTTATATCAGTGAGCGAATGTTTGCACACGCGTCGTATCTACATGTGACATGTAGCAAATAAAAGTGTTGTGAGTACAGCATAATTTAAGGTTTTGTATGTGGTAAGTCTCAGTATTTTCTGTCAATTTTGGTTGGCAATAGATGTCTTGAACTACATAACAATAAAAAGTTGTGTTTGCCAAATATATTTTGCACCATGTGAAGGGAATTAAGGAAATCACTTTATATATTTCTTGATATGTGCTCTTGGGCAAGTAGTTCATTCGGCACCTAAGTTTATAATTATATTATAGTGGACAAGATGTCATAATGTTTTTGCAGAATAGTATATTTGTTAAAAGTTTGTATGTTAAGAATTAAGGATTTGTGTGCTTACCATATTGTTTTATAGTTTTCCTCAGTCCCTCCAGGAAAATATTGGAATGATGTATGACAGAGATCATGACTATTTCCCTCCAAATCACACCTTATAGTCATTTAATTCCTGCTGCTGATAAAGTATCATATGTTCAACTAATCATCAAAGTCAGTACTGGTGCAGCAGTTTATAAGTCCGTTTCATAAGATAAAATTAAACCAAATTATGTTAATTCAGTGACACCTTTGCTCTATATGCAAGGGACCTGAGCTTAAAATTTGGCCCAAAGACCAAATTTCCTGACTGACATATTCCATGATTTTCTTCAGTATATTCAGCAAATGCAGGGGAATGTATCTCATATTAGGCCATAATCACTTTCATATTCTTCTCTATCTCATTATCATTTATAATCCTGTTATTTTATGCTAATTATCTGAGCTAATAAGAATGTTGTTAAATGATATATAAATGGAAAGATAACCTTTGTTATTCCCTCCTTATTGCAAACACCTCGTATCATTTTCCTTTGTGGTGCCTGTGAACCCTTGCTGTGTTATTGCTTTCTCCTTCTCCTGTTGATCTGATTCAATTCAGAATTAATGCTAAAACAGTGAACCCAGTCCAAAAATAATCAACTGACTACTTGCTTATTATAGTATTTCAGCCTCCCGTTCCATTGAGGCATTATCCTTCTTATTATAGCACTTGTCCATAATGCAACAATATTTTTAACATATAAAAGACATCTAAAATATGTTTCTCACTGAAAGTGTAACTTTAATACTTTACAATATTTTTTAAAATCATAAAATGTTATTAAGACACTACAAGTATAACTTATATACACTAACTGAGAAAAAACATACATAAAACTAGAGACAGTTTAGTAATCTGATAATCACTTTTAGTGTATAAGTTATACTTTTAGTGTCTTAATGACATTTTATGATTTTTACAACATCATAAAGTATTAAAGTTACACTTTTAGTGAGAAACATATTTTAGATGTCTTTTATATGTTAAAAATATTGTTGCATTATGGACAAGTGCTATAATAATAAGAATAATACTTTCTTATTATTTAGTTCATATTTTATCTCTTTAATAAAAAGTGTGAATTAGTGTTTTTCTAATTGCATACAGTCACTGTGAAAGCTTCAAAGCATATACAGAACAGTAGTATTGACAACTCAGCTGTGGTGTTTGGATTGTCTGAACCCTTATTCTGACAACCGGTATTACTCCTTGAATGCAGGATCAGATAATTGCAAGACTTCCTCATACCAGGCAGTATATGTCAGTTGATGGTACATCAATTCAAAAAATGAACGTGACCACCAACAGATATTTTCCTTTTTGTGGGTTCCAGCTTTGCAAAGTATTTTTGACATGTCTTCCCTCTATGTTCTTTAAAATGTTCCTCCATGCTTGGCTGAAGTGTATTGTTCTTGATCTTCCATTTGGTCATTCATACCTGAAACTGCCTTTGGTATTTTATCGTTTTGCATATGAATAAACCTTTATAATCCTGATTTCAGTAATATTTATTTAAAAGATTTTGTTATATAGCCTTCATTATTCTCTCTGTACCTGTGGTCATTTCAGTTAATCTCAGCCATGTGTGTTATTTGTGGCCTCATTTTCTAGTGTTGTAATCTGAAGATTCAACCCCACTGTCCACATGAACCAGATTAATCCAATCCCTTTGATACAGCTTATTTCCTAACATGTTTTACCATTATTTCCTTTTCCTGTTTGTGTCTTCCAAGTTGCCATGTTCAAGGAAGTTTACTCACTGAAATTCTCTCTGAATTTTGTGTTTCTTGATTCCAGGTTTTACGATCAATACATCATAACTTCCTTGACTTAGCAACCCTGACCGTATAGGTACAAGAGAAAATAATTTATTTCAATTATATTAATTTAAGAAAATGTGTACAAAGTGGCATTTTATACTAAATCATAACTGGTTTTAATATTGTGTTCAGACTACTAGAATTTTTATCTGTGGAGTAGAGTTCTTAGAAATTTGATTGGGGACCACATGAGGTTCTTTGAGTGAAGACTTGATTATAGTTTAAATAATATTAATGCGGATGTTGTGACCTTGTATGTGGTACTCGGTGCTTTTCATTATTTTGTATCATTTTATAAATTCTGTTTTACAGCCAACTACAATTTGATTTAAAGTAGTACTACTGAGTTACAATGTTCAGACTGCTCTGATACCTAATAGCTCAGTGGTCTTAACACATTGGTGAACAGGTGGTTTGGTACTCACCTGTCCTGGGGACAGGGAACATTGAGTATGTTCAGTGTAAAAGCATGTGATTTGATTTAAATGATCTGCTGTGTGCTATTTAAAAACTTTAAGAGATTGCAAAAAAGATAAGGAAAAGTCTTGCATAAAAGTGTTAATTTATGTAGCTGATCTACTGGCTATAGAACTGTTAAACAGGGTAGTCCATTGCCAGTGTGTTAAGACTGTATTTGAAGACTGGTCAACTGTTGTGTATCAACCATGGCGTACAATATACATTTAGTGGGTGTAAATAGAGCATGTTGTAATTTGTATCAGTTACAGTTCATAATTGTGTATTTTTTCCTACATTGGCAAAAAAGAAAAGCTGGTATATCCCAGTCATATTAATCTGTCACCCTGTTTTGTGTAAGGATGAAGTTATGGCTCAGTGTATGTCGGTATTTCTTTTAAGCCCCATGCTTGTTTAATTCTCAGCAAAGTTGCATGCTCACTTCCAAACATGCTGCAATGTGAGGATCATGCAATAACAACAAACACAAATTAATCACAAACAAATTGAAAGAGCAAATCTTCATGTCAGAATCAATGTGTAATACTCTAAATTTATTTGTAGGAAGGTATAATAAAGAAAGTTTTTCAGTATTTGTGCTATACCAGCATTCTTCTCTGATTGAATAATTAAATTTGTTGTTAGCATGGCTATTTTAAAAAACGTCAGTATACGAGGGGGTACCCAAAAGAAACCGAACTTATTTTTTTTAAACTTGTTTATTCAAATTTTAAGCACAAACCTTCAATCTCCTTCAAAGTACTCTCCACTTACACTAATACACTTGTCTAGTCTTTTATTCCATTTTTCAAAACATTGTCTAAATTCGTCTTTTGAGATGCTTGACAGCGCCTCCGTCGTTTTTTTCCTTCACCTCAGCAACATCAGCAAAACGCTGAAAAAAAGTTTTGATCATTTCGGGACTCTTCTTTCAAAGCACAGCATGCTTCCACGCGACCTTGTTTTTGTTCAGCAGTCAGCAGTCGTGGCACGAATTTCGCAGCCACCCTTTTCATTCCCAAATCTTCTGTCAAAATTCGCTGAACTGAGCTCCAAGTCACTCCCGACAGCTCCACAATTTCTTCAATGGTCCGTCGTCGATCTTCCTTGATGATTTCACGAATTTTTTCAACATTTTCATGTGTTCGGGCCATTGCAAAAACGACGATCACACAAAACAGTTGTCACTATAAACTCTGCCGAAACTAGTCCTTACCTTCTGAAGCAACGGTAGTCGGCTTATCGACTCAGGAATGTTAGCTCTATGTGCTCATAGCGGCAAAACGCGGTACTACAAAAGCTCTGCCCACAAAAAAATTAGTTCGGTTTCTTTTGGGTACCCCATCATACATGAAGAAGTAAAAATTATTATCTGGTCAGATTGTTGATTTTCTGTATTATACCTCCTTATAATTGTTGCCATAATTCAAGAAAATTTCTCTCCTACAGGGTCAACATTAAATCCAAAGGCAGTCCAGATAGGATTGCCAATGGACAAATTTATATCGACAGAAATTTTTCTGTAACTACTTGGGTTTCTCCTGATAAACTGTCCTTTCACCAGAGTTCCATGTACATCTATTTCCATCATCAGGGACTGGTGTTTTGCACCCTCTGATACTGCAGTGCCAAGGAATCAGTCTTGTTTGAGCCATAAAACTAAAGCTGTACTCCTGTAGGAAGTGACATTGGATTGATACATTTATGGCATTCTTTTTTCTGTTAAATTTGAGGTTCTCACAGTGGTGACTTTGAAGTCTTTTGGGATGTGATGCCAAGTAATTTGGTAAATGTTCACAAGAATTCTTCTACCCTGAAGATGGAAGAAGTGTAATCCTCCAAAACCTTTGTGAACATGTACCAGACTACATGGCATCACATCCAGGAAGGTAGCCAACATCATCTATTGTTCTTGAAATGTTCTAGTTGAATGTCATTGCCATGAATGAGCAGAATGAATGTTTTAAATCTGGATTTGAATATGAGATGGTTGTTAATTTTGTTATGCTATTTATTACTTTCGGTATTTATTTTGACAAGAAAGGATGATCATGAAATTGGATGAAACATATTTTGTTTTTGTTTAAAAGTCACAAGATTTACCCTCGTGCGATGCAAGTTTTTTCAGCTACTATACATAAATATAGCGATTAAGTAGGTACAATTGTCCCATGAATGGATGTCATGGCATGATGACATGTAAGGGACAGGTATAGCCCCACCTTCCATAATCTTGGCCATAAATAAAAGTGGGCAGTCAGCTTAATGCTGTGGAGCATGAGGTGGGATGTGAAGTTTGCTAACTTACTTTGCAGGATGAACTATGGTTAATTGCTACATCTGATGAATTTTATACAAAGCAGTTTATTATAACATAAGAACCCACTTGTGTTCTATGCCACATGTATTTTATATTATAATACAACATGGCCCTTATTTTAAGCATATATGGTGAATTCTGTATTTGATGGTAATATCTGGGGAAATTGCTTTACTTAAACAAAACTGAGGTTTCCACTAGAGGGGGTTAAGCAGAATTACATGAAATTACATCTTGCGATACTTACTGTATGTAATTACGATAAAATAAGATCTGCAGCCTCAGGGTTTGGATCTCTCAGTCTGTTTCACTTCTCTGATGTATCAGTTGATGCTTCCAGCATAATTTTGCGTTTCTAATGGACATTTTTCTCATAAGTGTATGGTCCATTAACTGTGTAGAAATATGCACTGATTCCGTCTTTTCAGTATGATAGTTCCTCTTTGATCTTCTGTTCTGAATTGTCATACAGTTAATTTTTAATAACTTTATTTCTCATTTGATCTTTTAATATATATCCCAATACATTTCTTGGTTTCTGTTTTTGTTATAGTATCCATACTTCAGAGCTGTATGTTAATGTTAGGATAGCCATAGTTTTATTAAATTTAATCCATATTTCTTTGCCTTGATGTTTATCTTTCTACTGTCCCACATATATGATTAGACTTGCTTTGCTTTGTTACTGAATCTTTATTCTCAAAGACTGAAAGAATATATCTCTTAAGTAGTTAAAATTATTTATCATTTTTCTGTGCTTGTAGCAAAAGTCTCCTTCAGAGAAATTCCAATATGAAGCAGTCTGCTGGCCGTGTGCCCCACAGGGTGCAGGCAGTTGCTTTGATCACAGTCCCATTAACAAAAAATATCAGTTCTGACAGGTGGAAAATTTGTTACAGTTCAGTAAATATGGGAAAATCGTGCATTATTTACATTAAGCTCTGACTGGGAGTAGAATACGGAAGTTTCCACAAAATCAGGATTTCACTGTACCATTAAAAGGATAGAAATAGATTCCATTAATTGTGAGACAGAAAGTTCCGTTGCTGCTGTATATGGCAGGGTTGGTGAATATTCAATATACTGATCCTAGTGATAAAATAT